TAAAAGTAATCATCAGAACAGAGTAAAATTGTAAAACAATATGTGAATATTTTTATTATTTTCAATGAATTAAATTTTCAGTACGCTTCGAACAATTTGAAAAGAATAGAATACATCGATTTTTTTTAATGGTGCATAAAGTTATTATCACTAACTTGATGCTAATACAAGTTGAGGTTATTGGGATAAATTCACAAGATAATTTAATTGAGAACTAGTAACTAAACTCTTTAATATATAAAAAATTATTATTTAAAATTTTAATTTTAAGATAATTATGAAATTATAATAATAATTAGTATATAATTATAATTAATGATTTTCAAACGCGAAAGAGAATCTAAAGGAATCAATATCAAAAATTCCTCTCACACACTTTACAGTAGACACGCCTTTTGGAACTGTTAATGTAAAGGTATGTTTTTTGTCCGAGAAAACTCCTTTCTAAAAATTATTTAGAATAAATTTTAGTTTAAATATTGATTATAAAAAAACCAATAAATATAATGAATTTATAATTTACCACATTGGTTGCGTCAACTGTTACACCATCTTCGCAACTCATTCTTTTAAAAACAAGTTCTAAAGAAAATTTTTAATAAGCATTATTATCATCAAAGTATAAAATTAAATTTTCTCTTCTTTTTTTCTACGTACCATTAGGATGAAATCCAGTGCCGACCCATTTGCTTTCAACACTGAATTTACCATCTCCAACTTTAGTAACGAGAACTGGTAGCGGTAAAACTTCATGAAATGCTACTGGTTTGTCTATACTAGGTTTTTGCGCATGAACAGCAATGGCAATGAAAAAGAAACAAAATATAGCGACCAAAGTAGGCTTCATATTTACTATATTTTTCAAAAAAAGGGTTCAAATTCTACAATAAATGTTAAGTGTAGGTATTAGAGAAAATATAATTATTTTGATTGATACAAAGGAAATATAAAGCATTTATATAACATTCTCCAAAATTCCGTTTTAGGATCATTACGATAATTAATCTTTGATGAATTTTTTTGTATAAATATACTAAAAAACTTTTTTTTAGTTAAACTATTGCCAATGATTTAGCCTTTTGAGTATTATCACTATAAATTTCAAATGAAGTCCGTATTAATTTGTGTGCGTACGTATGCAATCTACATACTATAAATTGTAAGATCCTCAGCTGGGGTATATTATATGATCATTTTTCATAGTAGAACTAGTGTTAGAGTCCGTCAACATATGACGGCTATAGGGCATGGAATAAACGCTACAAGCATGTCATGCAAATATTGCAGAGACCAGCATGATGGAAGATCCATTTAATTGGATGTCGATCCTTGAAATTTCATTAGCTACATATAGCAAATATGAAACCGCAATAGTTTAACTAAAAAAAAGTTTTTTAGTATATTTATACAAAAAAATTCATCAAAGATTAATTATCGTAATGATCCTAAAACGGAATTTTGGAGAATGTTATATAAATGCTTTATATTTCCTTTGTATCAATCAAAATAATTATATTTTCTCTAATACCTACACTTAACATTTATTGTAGAATTTGAACCCTTTTTTTGAAAAATATAGTAAATATGAAGCCTACTTTGGTCGCTATATTTTGTTTCTTTTTCATTGCCATTGCTGTTCATGCGCAAAAACCTAGTATAGACAAACCAGTAGCATTTCATGAAGTTTTACCGCTACCAGTTCTCGTTACTAAAGTTGGAGATGGTAAATTCAGTGTTGAAAGCAAATGGGTCGGCACTGGATTTCATCCTAATGGTACGTAGAAAAAAAGAAGAGAAAATTTAATTTTATACTTTGATGATAATAATGCTTATTAAAAATTTTCTTTAGAACTTGTTTTTAAAAGAATGAGTTGCGAAGATGGTGTAACAGTTGACGCAACCAATGTGGTAAATTATAAATTCATTATATTTATTGGTTTTTTTATAATCAATATTTAAACTAAAATTTATTCTAAATAATTTTTAGAAAGGAGTTTTCTCGGACAAAAAACATACCTTTACATTAACAGTTCCAAAAGGCGTGTCTACTGTAAAGTGTGTGAGAGGAATTTTTGATATTGATTCCTTTAGATTCTCTTTCGCGTTTGAAAATCATTAATTATAATTATATACTAATTATTATTATAATTTCATAATTATCTTAAAATTAAAATTTTAAATAATAATTTTTTATATATTAAAGAGTTTAGTTACTAGTTCTCAATTAAATTATCTTGTGAATTTATCCCAATAACCTCAACTTGTATTAGCATCAAGTTAGTGATAATAACTTTATGCACCATTAAAAAAAATCGATGTATTCTATTCTTTTCAAATTGTTCGAAGCGTACTGAAAATTTAATTCATTGAAAATAATAAAAATATTCACATATTGTTTTACAATTTTACTCTGTTCTGATGATTACTTTTA